AACACTTGCTGCATGTCCATACACCCACATCCACACACATATGTGCAGTACAACACACACACACACACACACACACACGCACACACACACACACGCACACACACACACACACACACACACACACACACACACACACTTAGAGTGGCGATGACCTTACCCTATGGACTAAACCAAGTGACCGACTAGCAATTTCACACACATGTACACGAGATATTGACTCGATGACAGACCAACACAGTGCACGCATCGTATGAAGACAAGCTCATCAATGTCAGTCGGAGATACACGAAATTGCAACATGAACGCCCAAGTTCCTCCATGCTACAACCACCGATGACAGAACACATCCCTCAACAAAGTAGTGAACATCCCTCTAGTCGTCCTCGTGCCCATTACCATTTGAGCTATCGTCATGTCCACTCTCGTCCTCTCCCCGGGCACGAGTCTCAGTATCCCTCTCATCCACGTAGTCACTACCAGAAAGGCCATCACTTGAGGAGGCATCTGAATCGTCGTCAATGATACGAGTCGATTTCCTATCGGGAACTCCAGTCGAGGCCTGAGACCTTGTGCGAACTCCCACCGTCAAACCAGTGCATGCAGTGGTGCACTGCCCAACGTCCTCCTCACCCGCGTCGTCTGCCTCCAATGCACTCATCGCCCGTGAATCTCGACCCCTGCCTCGACCCCTGCCTGACCCTGAGCCTCGCGGGCAACCACGAGGTCTGCCTGTGCCAACCTTTTGTCGTGGAGGAGGTGGTAATGCGCCTCCGTCATCCTCCCTCCTCCTCTTCCTGCCTGCACGACTTGTCTTCACATTATCAACAATGGCTGATTGAAGTCGTGCAGGGAGCGGTGGCATGCCTAATGGACTACGCACAGGCGGGCCAGCCGCCGCTGATGAAGTGGATGCTCCACTCGCGTGCGCAGCCGGGCATCGTAAAGTCACCGATGGGGGGTGGTGTAGGGCACTGCCAGGGGACACTGCAGGAGATGAAGTGCCACCACCATGTGCTCCAACTGTCATCGATCTGCCGAGAAGATGAACGCTTGCTGCATCAGGTGATTGGGTGGCACGTGTGGGCATGGGCGGGATCCCATAAAAGGAGGCAGTCGGCAGTCTAACATGACTTTCCCT